GAAAAATGTTTTACCAAAAAAAGGTATAACAATAATTTATATGAACTTTCACCTTAATTTATTTAAATTAGTTCGATATTGATGCTAATTTCATAGGAATAACAAAAATAAAATCATTTATCTTCTTACCTTATAAAATATGAATAGTTAGACGTATACCTTTACTGTATATACATTTAAGTTTATATTTTGCTTCTATCTACCGTTGCAATCACAATATATCAGTTACAAAAGTTGCAGTCGTTGCGAACTTTTAATATAATTATTGACATTTCATCTCGGTATGTAAATATATCTCGTCACCTATATTATATAGATTTTTAGGAATATGTCTTTATGACATAATAACGGCTTCATTTATTTATAAATATGTAAAATTTTCGGATTGTCCATAGTATATTGATTTTAAAAATTATAAATATTAAAAATCTATAATGTAATAATGAAATATAAAGGAATCACATTGACCTGAATGTTTTTTTTAATAAACAGCTTCAAACAGATATAGGCTTCAATATTTTACAATGTATTTAAAAAAAATGTTCTAAGAAATAATTTGTCCTAGTGATTTTTGGACAGAGTTTCGAAAATAACAAGTTAAATCCTAGTTACATGATGTAATTGGAATATACATGATATTAACAAGGACTGTGGGTAACCCGCGAGATGCATCTAAACTCGGCGTATTCCCGTTTCTCCCTCGGGAGCCAACCACGTGCTTCTACTTAGTACTAGGTAAATACATGAACAAAACTTTGAACATCGACCTTACGAAACGGCAATAAAGACCATTTTACTTTTTGCTTACTTGTGAATAAAATTGTTCCGTTTACACAGTCTGAAAGCTTTGCTTTAGAACCCTTGCCAGTATTAGAATGCTTCGACATGTACAAAAATAGCTAGATAGAAGTATTTTTCCAATTCAGTTGAACGATATTTTGCTATATAAAAATCTGATTTATTTATCCACAATAATTTTTGTTATTGACTATTTTTTTAAACATGAAAAACCAGATAATATATCCATTGATATATTCAGTGATATGTGCTTTTCTTCATATTAAACAAATCAATAAATAGTAAATGCTAACTGTTTGGCCGCAGAATTAGTTTTCAAAATGTCGATCTGTATTTTTGTAAAGAATATATTATTAACATAATTGTTTTTGTAGTTCTTTTATAAACGCGTAAGCAGATATAAAACTCTAAGACTCTATTTTGCCATCATTTGATCTTACAAGTATTCCTCGTATTGTTATCTTATATGTTCTATGTAGATATGAAAATTTATGAATAAAATAAAAGGATGCATAGAAACTTTAGTACGTGAAGGGCATAAAGTTTAAACACTGTTATATAGAGTACCCAACTCGCTTCTTTCGGCTCACAGAAATTTTATAACACTCGAAGAAAACGATCGCCATTTATGATTCACGCGATAGGTGTCTTTACATATCACGCACGACGTCAAATGAAATATAGATAACACTACTCTTATGCAAAGTGAGAGGTGAAATTTTCACGGTAGTAGGCACGCATTCTTAGAAATGTCTCCCATAGGCGCTGGAGGCAGGCTGGTGCCGCCGTAAGAATACGCTCCGCTGAGATTGCTTGCGCTAGTTTTTTTGTTTAATATTTATGAACTCTGCCTCTTACGTCTCGTGTCTTACCAGTCTTACCTTTATGTAATGGTATTTTCTTCAAGCTCAGTTGACACTTTGAATGGCAAACGAACCCGAACATACTCTTGGAAACGGTTGTTGATCAGTGTTCGTTACTTTGCTGGGAATGTGTCGGGGAGAATAATAAGTATCTAAGTTATCACAAATTTTTGCCATTTATTGACTTTGTCAAATATTAGATATGAACATAGATGCCGACTTTTATATTTCATTCTTTTAAGCAGGAAATTAATATATCTTTGTAAAAAATAAAAGGTTTAATCATAAGTGTTTTATTGGCTCAAAATAAAGTTATTAAAAAAAGACAATAGAAATTTTGCAAGGGGTCATCGTTAATTATTTTTTTTGCCAGCAGGAAAGGTCGTAAATAAAGTAAAGGGTGCTATTAAACGCATTATTCCCGCATATTTAATGTACTGAAAAGGCTAAAAGGTTTTTATTTTTCACAGATTCAACAGCTTTAAACAGAAATCGCCATTTGAATTAAGTCCCTATTCAACATGTGATTTATTCGCTTAACATATCCATTATGAGAAAAAAAATGTTTTACTATAACGGTCTAGACAAACAAAAAATCATCATAATGTCTATTAAAAAAAATTCACTAATATACGTAACTTTAGTAATAATATTACAGTTATTCTCATACACATGTATATAGCTCAGAAAACAAATAATGAAACATTTCAAACGTTTCCCGATTGTCTCATTTAATAATAAGACGCTGGTAATAAATTTAAATCTGGACAGATTTCAATTTATTAACGGTATTGCCATTGACAAAATTTTCGTTAATAATTTAGATGATGAGAATACACCATTTTGCAAAGACGGAGGCCGGTCCTCGCAGCGAAAAATAGATAATAAAATGTATTGAAATGGCTGTGGGTCGGCTTATCCGGTTGAAAGTCAATGAATATTTGATTTCAATTTTTTTCCCGACGTCGCCGTGAAGTATTCAAGCCATACCTAATTTGATTTTCGCCATTCCGGCCGTTCGCAGGGGCAGTTTGCATTCATATTCAGTTTGAATACGCGTTTGGGTTGCCTCTTCTCCGAGTTTGATACAAATAAACAGCAGATATTTTTACATTTCTTGCTAGGATAACCCGACCCAACTGATTACGTTGTGGGGATAATAACCCGCCAGTGGTATTAGGGGCGGCCTAAGGAATATTTATATAAGATTATTGCTTACCAACTTATATTTTTATATATTGCATGTTTGAATAATATCGGATCTTTATGCTGGAGGATTAATGTAATTTGTATTTTTCAGGGCTACATTTTTATCTACATAATAATATATTGAAAATGATAATTTTATTACAAAAGTATGTATATGGTGTATTTGCATTTTATTTAATATGTTTAATGACATGTTTTTATAGTTATTGTTGTTGTACTTTGTTTCAAATATTTTAAATAATTAACAGTAGAAAGTTCTGAAAATATCAATCAAATGACATGTAAAGGGCACAACCGTACAGGCCAGTAAAATGGGAGCATATCATTTCATGTCTTATGCCAACAAGAAAGGAATGTTTTTCGCTTAGCCCTCAACGAAACAGGATTCGTTTTTGCGAACTTGCATAAATGACGGCGCAACGATATTTCACCGAGGCTGAATATTTGGGTCAACCTGTTTTTGTGTAATGGGGATTACAAAAGCAAATTTAACATTGTATTTGTTGTAACTGTTGCAAGGGAACCTTCGTTCGCAACAAAAGATGGCTTGCCTTGATACGATTTTCGTGGATTTTAATTAAAATCTTACGCGTTGCGGGGATAATGAAAGAAACTGATTACATAAGCCCCTGGACTTTAGTGTTTTGGGATAAATTTATTTACGCGCTCATTTCACAAAACTTTTAAAATAAGTTATTAATAAAAATAAGGGGAACGCGGAAATTGAAAATAGGACATCCCTCAAGCGGTCCCTTTTACCCTCGCTGTAATATAAAATCTGTACTAGGAAACCATATATTTTATCTGGGTGTCGATTTGTTATTTATTAGTCGGGAATAGTCGTATCACGAGGGAGGGAAGCACAATACCGAACCGAAAAACGGTGAACCTATTTAGTTGCGATGCCACCTTGAACCTCCGTTTCGCCTCGGCTCGCATGAGCCAACCGTTTCACCACTCTAACTAGAACTCCCGTGACTTTCACCCTTCATATACAATTTTATGTTATGAATCAAGGGGTGTAAACTGCGACAGATCTGTTTCAGCTGGCCGCATTTTATCGAGAGTTGTATTTATCTGCTACTCGTTAAATGGCTACGATTTTGTGGCGAAGATGCCTGAAGAAATGAGCCGAGACGCGAACAAAAATGATATGTTTCCGTGTGTGACATGCAAACCTTTCAATGTTGTGTTGTATTTGTTGAGAAAAACAAGCTGATACGCTACTGCTCGTGCGTGTCTTCTAAGTTATGATCAGTAATATATGTTATTATCCTAACAATTTATATTCTATACATTGTTCGGAATATAAGAATGGCCTTTATTAAATTCTATACAATTTACTTAGCATTAATAACAGAATTAAAGAACAAATTTGAGTCGAACGATTTTAGTGAGTTTTTGTAGTATGGATATTAAAGATATTAGGAATATTTTGTAAGTAAAAAAGTAAAGGTTATTTAAGACAGCTTTAATGATTTTGTATTAATTATGTCATAATTGTATATAAGTATTTGTATGATTTTTATATCCAAAATATAGTTGTACTATTTTCGATATAAACACTTTATTACTTTGTCACTTTGATATTATTGATTGATTGTTGTGACAAAGTACAAAAGACCCTAACCCAAACGAAATTATATTCTCTTGATTGTTGATAACAACTACCCTCTTCACTTTCGTGACAAACACATATGTAGTTATTTATAATAATAAATAAAAATAAACTTTAGGGCCAATATAAATTGAACTCATTATATTATATTTTTTCCACGCAGAAAATAAAGCTTTATTTTTTGAAAGCGAATCTATTACAGGATGTTAATGTAGGTAACAAACGTGAGTAGGTACAATTGCCAATTATTTTATTTAAGTCAAATAATTGCCTATAAGTATTAATAACACGCAATCTTTTGCTTTAAGAATAAAAGTAAATTAATGAAATATTCAATTGAGTTGAATCGAAACGAAAGTATTATTAGTCGTCGTCGAACGAAAAGTATTATTAGTAAAAAAATTACTTCTGCGTAAAGTCCTATTAAATCATTAATGCCTTATTATGTTTTATCGATTCTATTCCTAAAACAGTGTAGATAGCGTTGTATAAATAAATTAAGCAACACTTACCTCTGTGCCTATTGGTTTGTTTGTCGAACATTAACATGGCGTCTTCAATCTGCAACAAGAGAAAAGACATAAAATAAACTTCAAATCCTCAAAGATCGCGAGGAAAAATAGCGAAAAACAAGGGCGTCGTGCGCGATTTGAGCCCCGCCCCGGCAATAAAACACTCCGCCGTTGTAATAACGAATAAGCACCGGTACAGAGTAAACCACACGCTGCAAATAAACTTTGATAAGCGGGGGCGAGCAGGTAATAACGTATTCATAGAGAAATAAATGGAAAGTCGGCGGTTAGGACACGAACAATACAAGCCAGCAGATGCGCTGTCATCGCTCGCCTAACCCGCCTTGCCCGCGAACCTAAATTTGGCCACGAAGGAATATTTTTAAAACTCCCCGTTAACGCAAGCCAGTGATAAATGTGAAATAGAACGAAATTGCATTGTAAATATTCATGTCGACGGCAACGCGTGACGCCTCCGCATGCGAATACGTACAGGTTAATTATAAATTCCTTATTAACTTTTCAGATGCGTTAGATATGTCGTATCGCGGCATGGCGAGGGTAAACAGAGCGAGTAACGGAATGACCCACAGTGAAAAATGTGCGTGCGTATAAAAGCGGGCAAGTTGAGTTTGGCAGGCGGGGGCTTGGGAGCTTTGTCTCGACGCCGGCGTCGGCCGCTCCCCAGGGCAACATTACACGGGAAGGTCTACATAGCACACTCCCGATGATCGATGTCGAATACCCGTAACAGGTGACCTTTCGCTGAATTATTCCTACCTGTAGAAACGTTTGTTTAGTGGTGATTTGTTTAAGCGGGAATTGCTACGCTTTACTTGAGCATGCGTGAACTGAACAATCCCCTTTTGTGGTGAATAAAAAATTTTCCTTAATTTAGGATCGAGAGCGAGTGATTTATTTTAGATCTTTTGTTAAAAAATAAGACGCCCTACTTCATTCTTAAAACGAATAAAGAATTATATTTAGAGTTTCATTCTAATAAAGTGTTTCATAGATCATTAATATTAATAAAGAAGCGTAAGAGTTTTAGATATTTCTTATTTTTTACTAAATTAATAAATAAGGTGATTTTCATCACTAGTTTATACGTACCAATTACGTTAATAGCAAAATCGTTGCAACGATTTAGGGTTAATTCCATAATAAATTCTACAATACTGAAGTATGTATTTTTTTTATATCGTATTGTACTTCCTGGGAAAGTTTCTGAAGTATCATTTACTAAATATATGAGTATTACTAAAACTTAAATTTTATTTTATTAATTTCAGTTAAAACGTAATGTTATGCACTTTATATAATGTTTACCTTATTAACCATAAGAATAATTATTTGGCTGTAATGTCATGAAAATTACAGATTTTGAGATTGAGAATATTGTTACAGAATATACCTCAACTAAATATAACATATGCTTAATTTAAGATCTAAACTTGATTGTGTACATACTTCAATTTAATAATACAAAAACTCAAATACATTAAATGTTAACAGAATACACCTTTAAGGATTTCAATGAGGTTATATTACATATAGTATATGTCCGTGTACATTACGACCATTTATAATACAACAATGTATATAGTATGCAGATCCGGTCCGGCTATGTGCATAATTTCAAACAGGACAATAGTTAGCGCATTAATGAGGATTGTTAAAACCGGATATGACAGAGAATAATAAGTAGGTTTGGGACTGGTTGTAATTATCATATTTAAAAAATAATAACAACATTTATACATAGTACCTATGCTTAATATGACCAAGCCTAAGTATCAATATCTGTCAGAATATCCGAACTGAAGGTTGACTCTGCCGGAATTAGATATCAGATTGAATAAGAACCACGCTACTAATAGAATAAGTTGGATAACGAACGGATATAAAAGAAGAGTAGAGCCATGAATGGTTTGTGTGAAAGGATGCAATAATATCAAGGGTGTGAGAAATGAGATTACTGAAAAAACAACGCTAAGTTACTCTAATCTAAGATATCTGGATGTTTGTTACTCAATAACGCTTAAATGACAAAACGTATTCGAATACATTTTTGTAGACTTATAAAACAAATTTTGAATAAAATCGTAGAAAATCGGGAGTCACTTATATTTTTAACATTTTCCTCCTAACTTATAGATATAACAAGTGCATTCTTTATATCATATATATCGAGATACTACTTACACGATAAGAGGTTGTTGATGGTTTTCATCATAAGTTAGTGTGCCCGTTACTATCAAAATACGTCTTAGAAGACCCATAGTATTTTACGAAATGTATCTAATATTTAATTATGGTTTAAAATTGAAACATTAAACTAATTTAGTACTAAGAATAAATAAGTTACTAGAGCCAGAGAATACAATTGAAATACAGAAAATAATTTGAATTAATATTATTACATACGTAATACTCACCCAAGTAGCAAATATTGAGTTGAAATCTTGAATAGTCATGGATGGAACTCAAAATAGAATATGTTTACCTACACATCACATCGACACATCCAAATATTGTTCGTTTATTTGTAAAGGATAACTTGTCCCATTTCGTGGTATCTGGTTTACCTCAACTCGTATTTGGAGGCGTTGATAGGTAATTAATAGTGGTAGACGAATATAAAATGATATTCAGTATCTGTAAAATGGATACATTTTGTATATCTAGGGTGGAAATAATTAATTTCACAAGTATTGTAATAAATATTAGATATTATATGCAATTTATAATAACGATCTGGTGTAATATATAATATTTGACTATTACTATTACTCTATTCTTCTCCTGCTTATGTTATCCTGTAAATTTCCACTTTCATGTTAGTAAAATATTGGAACCTATTACCATCATCCGGAACAGTAAGTTCAATAACTACTGCATGCGAAAGCTATTCAATAAACTAAGAATTATGAAAAATTTAATACAATTTTGTTAGCCTACATGACTAAGAAAATTATATTAAATTAAGAAATTTAAATAAATTAAAAAAGCATAGGGTTTTAAAGAAAGAAATACTAAGAATTTTCTATATATAACTGTAACAATTCCTTATTTATCAGTAACCGTCCAATAAATACCTATCAAAGATGGTGCCGATGATAGTGGTATAGTAATATTTATACTAGATATAGTAATATTATTTTTATCCTTTACTCGGTTTTGTTACAAAAATACATTGATATATTTTATCAAATAAGCCATCGGCCATTGCCTGACCAAATCACTGAGGTTCCTACCGAAAAAATAGATTATGACGTATCCTACGACATAGATTGTGACCTAATGCGGTATTGTTACGGGCAATTTGTGAGGCCTATATCGCGTCATTACCTTCTTTCCTATTTGTAACTGGGTGTGTAGGACAAGGACAGTGACTGCCGCGATTCGGGGCCACTCCCTGGGGCGACGTTACGGCGAAACCGAAGTTCGGCTCAGTGATCAATGTCGAACCTCAGAGGTGTCTTTTGAGTTAATGCTTGTGTGCGATTACCTTTAGATTATGGTTTTGTTGGATTTAAATATTTGATCGTATGTGCAGCGATTACTTTTATAGGCATACAGTCGGATTAAAAATGGTTTATTCATATAAATATATTGTATGTATATAATTGTGTTATGTTTGTGTTGTGTATTTTATTATCTATGTCTTATTATTTTATTTAGCAATTACAACAAAACTTTGCTTTTTCATAAACAACCAAAGATGCGTGCTTTGAAGTCTCTAACTCATATTAATATGCAACGCGGGAAGTACCTATCGTCAGTAGGATGTGCGTAATGCAGAATGGTCTCAAGTCACGTAAACTTAAGCGTTATGAGTTGAACCCTAAGAAGAACATTTATGAACATATAGAGGCGTGACCATACTAATTCCCCTTTTAATATTCGGGAGATGTGTGGCACACTCTTGTGTTATTGCCGACAACTTTGCTAATTTCATACTTGCTGTTTTTCTACCTAACTAGTAAGGATGTCCAAACATGTTAATTAACATTCTGTAACTGTAAATTATTTTTTAATATTTTGGGAAAAATTCGATATGTTGATTGGGTACATTCTTGTAGAGTTGATATAAAAGTTTTTAAATATTACTTCAATGTAGGAAGTGGTATTAGTTTAACTAAAACGTAAATAATACAAAAGAATATACATATATCTCAATATGTGTTTACGCCTCCTCTTTCACTCTCTCTCTGTTTCCGTAGCCTTATAGTAAGTCAACAATTTCTCTTTGTAATTTCAAATGAATAGCTTTTCTCTAAATGTATATGAAAGTATATACGGTACCAACATTAAAGAAATTAAAAAAAATGTTTGTCTGTTTGTTCTTGTTAATCGACAGAAATAATCGAATAAACCGATAAATAATCGAAGCAATTTATCAAATAATTTTTGATGGAAATTTTACATGAAGCTAGTTAAGCAGTAACTTATGCTTTTAATTTCGAAATTTTATTAATTTTAATAAAAAAAAGTTAAAGTTACGGGTAACAATTAGTTTTATTCTCAATTTATACCACTACTTTTTGAAGTCTATAGAAAATTATTAATACAAACATCTACGTTTAATCAAGAATCTACTATTGCAAATGTACTGTCAGTTAAAGAACACGGAAACTATGTAGACTGCTGACCTCCAGCTACTTCGCTACTTGGACAGTTGTAGAACAATCGTCCAGTGGTAATGGTCAGCCGCGCGTCCATCAATGTGAAGTGTTACTAACCTGTTTAGTTGGGAACTAAGTCGAAATACTCACCAACTCACTACTGTTGTGATTTAATTAAGAAATTTTGAAGAGAAACCTCCATTGCAGGAACTGTAGATCGACTATCAAACAGTTCCTGTTATTAACTTGGTTTAATATAATTACTGATATCTCTAATACTGAATAAAGTAATAAACTATACTACATTTCAGCTCTACAGGTTGTTCAAATCATCTATTTACCATTGTAAGTTGTTCAATTAATCAAGTGAAAATATATTATGAATATTAAGAAAACATCGACAATAAAACCCAAGTATGTA